TGCATTTCTCATTTTCCCAAAAAACGAGCATTTACCGGAAAAACAACCGAGTTTCATGCAAAAAACTGGTAATCATGTGCCTGGAGGTCCATGCAGCCCCTACAATGCAACACCTCCATCACAACCAACGCCGTTTCTCCTGCATGCCGGAAGAGGCCAAAGCACAGCCAATATGAGTCCTAGTGTTAGGCTACAGCGCAGAGATCATTTCTGTTATTAACGATCTGCATGTGCAAAAATCGCATAATCGCACCGGCAAGCCTGGTGCGTTCCAGACTGGGTTTTATAGTGTATTTTTGCATATTTAAGTAAGTGACAACCCATGGGATGCGCGTGTATGTGCATGCGTCTATCCAGGTATTTCTATTCGGTAACCAAGTAAGCTTGGATGCTGAAATTTTACCAGTGCCCCCTGGCCAAGTACGATCCCAAAAAAGCAACACCCAACTTCCGCGTAAATGCGAGTCTCACGTATGGAGCGTGGACGTTTTAGAAGGAAACCGCTAACTTGAGAACCGAAAAAACTAGAAAGCCGGAATGATAGAAGGAAAAAGCAAGAAGAAAAGTACCCTTAAGTACTACGCTTGCTTCTCGCAAAACAATCAGTAAATATGGCAGTGCGCAGTTGCGGCTTGTATTTGGAAAGGAAAGTTTGCAGGTGCATGCTTGGAACCATTCGATGAGCATTACCGGGACCAGTGCAATGGCGGTCGCTGGCGAGAACACTTCTATTTCGATAGAGCTCAGCAGGCATAAATAATTAAAGTTTATGAAATTTCCACAGAAGCATAAATTTTCAGGTGCAGCGCGTATGCTAAAAGTATCATGTTCCTCTGTTTCACAGCACACTGCTTTTATATCTAGTTCCCAAATTTATCCACTGGCCTTCTGCGGCGTCCCACTCATTTCGTAGATCCTTACGTTTCTAGCTTCTGCAGCTGCAGTTGTGTCGCTTATTGAGCTTCCAACACATCCTAATTTTATTTTGAATCATATCTCCTTACCAGTCTCTGTATGTATGTGCATACGTCCATCGGTGCTTATGTCTAGTTGAGTGAGTGTTCACTGATAACTGTTTGCTTCACTGTTCCAGACAAGCTTGATAGAAACGCTGGTACGTAAGAAAAATCTTAAATTTAAACTCGGAAACGGTAATTAAGACAGAGTTATGCAGCATCCATTTAAAAATGTACGAAAACTAGCCTAATGCAAGAACATGAGGTGACTCGGTTATAAACCAGTTCCGGTTTGCCTATTAAATGGACACCAGCAGCAGGTTATAGGAGAAGCTGGGAGCGGCCTTGCCCTTCCCCACCTTTTTTCTCCTTTACCCTCCATCTTCGCTTTTGTTCTTCCGCACTTTTCGTTACGCACCTACTGTTATATGAAACATTTTATTCGAAAAAAAATTTTTTTAAGGCATGTTTACCATTTTGGTACGATGGATGCACGGGGAAAAGCCAGAACCTATTTCAAGATGAAGCATCTTGTGTACAGATGTGCAAAAGACCTCCGACTAGTTTGCGTAAGTTTATTCATAAGCGCTTAAAAATTTTTAATTTATTGGACGCGCGTAGTACAAAATTATTATTAATAGCTTGGTACACTAACTACTTTCTACGAATAAGCGTGCAGCTGTGGACTTTGCTGATGAAACAAACCTAGGCATTCTAACTGTTTAAGAGTTGAGGATGAGTCGGCATTTTCTTATTCCAGAATGAAGCCTCATCACTTTTATAGCTAATCGCGCATGCTGCCAATCCCAGCTTATTAATTATCACTGGATTTTACAGCGCATGCTTCGTGGCATCACAGAGACAAACACGAAAAGCTCGTCGAAATGCAGAAAGCTCGAGAAAGTTTTGCGCTTTCAAAAGGTAGGAGCATTAATCGGTTTTTATGCGTTTTTGCCTATATGCAAATTGCAAAAACGCATATTGAGACGACCCCGTCTGTG